CTGTGATGACCCAAATGGAGTAAGGCTCCGAGACCTGCTGATGGGACACAATTCAAAATGAGGAGGAACAGCTGTAAATATTCATTAATAATCAGACCATGGCATGTATGAAGTATGAATCTAGGAAAACTGGAAGTTGTCAAAATGAAATGGAGTGTATAAAGATTGATGTCCTAGGCATTAGTGAGCTGACATGGACAGGAATTGGCCATTTTTAAACTGAAAGTCATATGGTTTACTGTGTCAGGAACAACAACTTTATCATCAACAAGGACATTTCAAGATCTATTATGAAGTAGAATGCTGTTATAATAGAATAACATCCATATGTTTATAAGGAAGAACAATTAATACTGCTATTATTTGAATTTATGCACCAGCCACTGAAGTCAGTGCTAATGGAACTGAAGAATCCTACCAATGTCTTCAGTCTGAACTTGATCGAGCATGCAATCAAGATGGGTTGATAATTGCTGGAGGTTAGAAGGCAAAGGCAGGAAACAAAGAGGAAGGATCAGTAGTTGAAAAGTATGGCCTTGGTGATAGAAATGATGTTGGAGATCACATGATAGATTTTTGCAAGGCCAGTGACTTGCTCATTGCAAATACCCTTTTAAAATAAGATAAAAGGCAACTATACACATGAACCTCATCAGAGGGAATACAAATTAACTACATTGGTGGGAAGAGATGGTGGGAAAACTCCATATCATCAGCCAAAACAAGGTCAGGGGCAGCCTGTGGTTCAGGCTGAAGCTGAAAAAAAATTAAACCAAGTCCATGAGAGTCAAAATATGACCTGGAACATATCCCAATTAAGTACAGATTTGATGCATTATACACTAATGACAAAAGACCAGAAGAGTTGTGGGATGACATCAAGTACAACATACAGGAACAAAACAAAATGTCATAAAAAGGTAGGAAAGAAAGAAAATATGAAAATAGATGTCAGAAGAGACTCTACAACTTGTTTTCCAGCATAAAGATGCTAAAACAAATGGAAGAAATGAGGAAGTAAAAGAGCTAAACTGAATATTTCAAAGGGTAGCTTGAGAAAACAAAGTCAAGTAGTATAATGAAATGTGCAAAGACTTGGAGTTAGAAAACCAAAAGGGAAGGAAAGAAACACTCAGTGTTTCTCAAACTAAAAGAATTGAAGAAAAAATTCAAGCCTTGATTTGAAATATTGAAGGATTCTTTGGGCAAAATATTGGATGTTGCAGAAAGCAGCAACAAAAGATGGAAGGTATAGACAGAGTCACTGTATCAAAAAGAAATAGTAGATATTCAACCATCTTAAAAGGGAGTTATGATCAAGAACTGATTGCACAGAAGGAAGAAGTCTAAGGTGCCATGAAGACACTGGCAAAGAACAAGGCTCCAGGAATTGATGGAAGAATACAAATTGAAATCTTTCAACAAACTAAAACTAATGCAGCACTGTAGATGCTCACTTATTTATGCCAAGAAATTTGGAAGACAGCCATCTGGCTAACCAATTGGAAGAGATCCATAACTATGCTCATTCCAAAGAGAGATGAGCCAATGAAATATGGAAATCACTGAGCAATATCATTAATAATGCATGCAGGTAAAATTTTGCTCAAGATAATTAAAAAACTGGCTGCCAGAAAGTCAAGCTGGATTCAGAAGAGGACATTAAACTAGGGATATCATTGCTGCTGTCAGATGGATCTTGGCTGAAAGCATAGAATACCAGAAAGATGTTTACTTGTGCTTTAGTGACTATGCAAAGGCTTTTGATTATGCGGATCATGACAAGCTATGGATAACATTGAGAAGAATGGATATTCCAGAACACTTAATTGGTAAAGCGAAGGGAATAAGCAAAACAGAATAAGACCCCCATTGAGATGGATTTTCAGAGTAGCAGCAACAGGCTCAAGGGTAACAAGAATTGTGAGGATGGCGCAGGACTGGGCAGTGTTTCGTTCTGTGTGCACAGTGTCACTGTAAGTCAAAGCCAACTCAATGGCATCTCATAGCAATAATATGATCCATACTTGATGGTAGAAAAATAGTTCAGAAGAAATACTCTTTTGAGAAGTATTTTAGATAATAATTCTTCCAGATGGAAGAATCCTCCAACATCAGCTATGTTGTTGTTAACTGCTGTCGTGTCGGTCCCAACTCAGAGTGACCAGTGGGGTTTTTGATGCTTTAAAATTCATGGGAGTAGCTAGCAGGTTCGAGCCGTGGACCTTGTGGTTTGTAGTTCAGTGCATATTGTACAGAGCCACCATGCTCCCATCAGGTATGTACAAGTTTGTAAATTAACCAGTTAACCAACAACAACAACAAAAACCCCTCTTCAAGTATCTAGAGGTAAATTTCAATTTACAGGAAACACAAAGAACAGAAGACATGTGACATAAAGGCAATCAGTCAATTCCAAACAGGAGAAAACTATGAAACAGATAACCCAATTTCTTTAGCAACAACAAAGAAATGGAGATTAAATCCATAAATCATAAGACATAAAAACCAGTTGTAAACTATGTATTTGGATACTTATTCAAACAAACTACTTAAAAACCCACATACACAAGCAATGACAAGAGAACTAGTGGAATATGAACACAGATTGAATGTTTGATTCAGGAACAATTATTAATATTTCAGGTGTGTGTGATAAGGATGTTATGACTATTTTTCTAATGTCTCATCTTTTAGAGAACCATGTTGACATTTTACAGACAAAACATCACTATGTCTGGGATATGACTCCAAATAACATGGTGGGAAAATGAGGTGGAGTTATGAGAGGGGACTTCAAAAAGTTCATGGAAAAGTTGTATGATCTTTTAATTCCATTTGTCCATGAATTTTTTTAAGCCTCTCACAAATTAATTATAATTGATAACTGCTAGAAGTTGTGCAACAGGTACATTAAATGTGTTGCCATTCTGTCTACTTTTGACTCTGTTTAAAAATGTCCATGCGATGTCACTGTTGTTAAGTGCTGTCAAGTTAGTTTTGACTCATAGTGACTCTGTATAGGGTTTCTGAGGAGTGACTGGTGAGTTTGAACCACCAGTCATATGATTTAAACTGACCGTAAGGTCCAGTGCTTATCCTACAGAGCCACACCAGGACTCCTATTAATATACACATATTTAACATGAATGTGATTTCTTAACATTGTTCTCAGAGCATAAAACACATCAGAGGAAAATCATAATTTCTTACCAGTTACAGTCAAAAAGGTCAGAGAGATGAGCAGGTTGATGCCCCAGTTCATGCTAGAAGTTAAAGCCATGGCTCGTCCTCTAATCCCACCAGGAAAAATTTCACTGAGCACCAGCCAGGGCACTGGAAGAAGAGGAAAAGTGAGCAGGGACAATCCAATTAATGAAAACCCATTGACACCACGCAAGTCCTTGATCACTGCACTGGTCCTGCATGGATGTAGGGTTAGAAAACTGCTATTTCTGCCCTGGGTATGATGGAGGAATGATATGCTTTCTCCTCACCTCTAACCAAGAGAGAAAGGATTTAGGAGAATCACTAAGAGAGCTTCACAAAGGTTTCCTGGAGCTGGGAAGGACAGAAGACACTAATATCTGACACTAGCCTACAAACTTCAAATAGGAGGGGCAGAGGCTGGAGCTACCTGCCTAACAAGAGAGCTGGTTTTGGACATCTGCCAAGTCAGCAGCAATTGTGCCAGATCCCAATGGTTCCTGATGTGAGGCTGTGTCCTTTCCTGTAAACTCCTTTCCCTCTAACCTTGGAGAAGTCTAAAATCATAGCTACTGAGCAGGTAGGAAATAGAGCTAGGAAGGTAGACGGAAGCCCACTGCTGAGCTCTTCGCTGCTTGTTGGCTTCCTGGCCTAGGGCAATGGCAAACTAGTGGAGAGAAGCTCTAAATTAAATAGCATTCAGAGAATTTGATTATTCTACTAGATGAAACATTTAAATTCCTGAAACGAGACTCTTGTTGACACTACAATAAATCAGAGGATTTTTTTATTATCTAAGAGTGACAGGGAGTGTGATGGCGCCTGCCTAATGGGGTTAGAAAGGGCAGTGGAGAAACAAATTAACTTGTCCTCTGCTTACAGCCTATCAAACTCAGTTTGCTTAACAAAATTGCTAAAAATTCTTACTGTGGGCTGAACATTCTCTCACCTGATGCTCCCCAAAGCCCTACAGGGTAGAGCAATTACAAGCTCTCTTTGACACAAGAAGAAACTGGTTGAGAGGAGTTAAAGACATGCCAAGGTCACAGAGCTTGTACGAGGCAGCGGTGGCATCGAGTCCTGGCAGTCAGGCCTTGGAGCACATGCTTTTTCATTGCTCTGCTTTCTCAGTAGTGGCTCAATAAGCATTTGTTAATGAATAAATGTATGTGGAGTGTACAGGTCCCAGGCCTGGCTCATTGCTCACTAATTTCCCTTGTGTTGGAAAGCTGGCATTTATATACTGACCATTCCCTGTGAATTGATGCTTTTAAGTTGTAGTGTTGGAGGAGAATATTGAAAGTGCCATGGGCTGCCAAAAGAACCAACAGATCTGTATTGGAAGAAGTGCAGCCAGAGTGCTCCTTGGAGACCAGTATGGCCAAACTTCGTCTCTCATACTTCGGACATATTGTCAGGAGGGACCAGTCGCTGGAGAAGGATATCATGTTTGGTAAGGTGGAGGGTCAGAGAAAAAGAGGAAGACCCCCAGTGGGATGGATAGGCAAAGTGGCAGCATCAGTGGACTCAAGCGTAGCAACTATCGTAAGGTTGGCCCAGGACTGGGCAGTGTTTCGTTCTGTTGTGTACAGGGTCGCTATGAATCGGTACTGACTGGATGGCACCTAACAACAACAACATCCCCTGTGGGGCACAAATGGTTAATGTGCTTGATTACTAACCAAAGGGTTGGCAATTCAAGTCCATACAGAGGTATAGCTCAGAGAAAGGTCTGATGATCTAGTTCTAAAACATCAGCCATTAAAATCTCTAAGGAACACAGTTCTTCTCTGGCACACATAGTGTTGGCATGAGATAGTCAACTTGACAGCAACCGGTACGTATCCCAGAGGAGAAAGACGCAAGAAGCTGGGAAGCAGTCCCACAGCCAGCAACCACGTTAGTCATCTGTGCCAGGACTGAGCTGTGCCTCTATGCTAATAATTGGCTGTTCTTGACAAGGTCTCATTCTGTAGAGAAAACATTTGCTTGTAGAAAATTTGCTATTTTAAAATAAGACAAATTAAATTGAATCACAGAAGGATGAATTTTGGGGGAGTATCTTCTCCAAATGAACTGATATAGGTTACATTTAGGGCATGTAACAAATGCAACATTATTATCATTATTTTAAATTATAGGGGATTTAAAAATAAAATTCCATGATCACCTCTCCACTTCCCCCCCTTTCCAGAAGACTCACTAGGTTCCGGCAGATTCCATCATTGGAGACCAAACTGTACAATGCACAGGCAATGCTGCTCTGGGCTCTGCAAGATTAAGGATCTGTCTCTGAATGGAATGGTTTCTGTGTAATTCACTACAAAGGTAAGGCCTTTGTAGTGATGACTCTTCCTTGGGCCAATACAAGATTTAATCACAGGAATCCATTTTATAAATCTAAATAATCTATGCACATATCAATCTTCATCACGCCACTGGTTGGAAGGGAAGCTGCAGGGTTCCTTAATGCCTTTTGACCCAACTGCCATAAGGAGGAAGTTGAGGGAATTTTCTTTTAATAGAAAAGTTAGCCAAAGGTTTTTTGCTCCACTTTTCGTCCACCTCATTGCCCCTCAGCCCTCTCCACTCTTCCCTCCCTGCATTTCATTTTGGGATTATTTGGTGGGATTTGGGGAGAAACATAACCAGGGCCCTCAGAGTTAGGTTGACCTCTGATGAGAATCAGCTGATGTTGCTGTTGTAGACTGTGGTAGAGTTGACCAATAAGAAGGGGAGCCGGTTGTGCAAAGCACAGTTATGTGTGCTCGGTCTGAACTGTCAAGAGCTTGCAGAGAAAAATCCAAGATACATACTGAAAATCTGTTTTACGATCAACACAATAGCTGAACCAAGTCCTTGGGCGGTTTAACCAGTTGGTAAGCAATTAACTAAGTATTGAAAACGAGTTCTATCAGTCCCTGTTCTGATAAGAACTTCAGATCAGGCAAAACCTATACCTGACATTTCTAAGAAAATTGTATCCTTGCAGAATGCTTATTCTTCTTTGGTGATCTAATAGAAAGAACTCAGGAATTGGATCCTTGGTTTATTTAACAAAACAAACTGGGCAGGCCAACAACTGACCATTGTTTGAAAAGGATGGTTCAACCTCTTCAGATGGAGCCTGTCAAGTCAACAATAAGAAAGTTGTCTTAACAATAATTTCAGAACCATAAAGTCACAGATTTTTAAAGAGTCAAAAATTTAAAAGTGGTACTCGCAGCAGGATAGAATGTATTGCAGTAAATCATCTATTGCAGACGGTGGAGCAAGATTGCGTAGGATTCTTACCAGCCTCAGTGTTCCTTGGAGAGATGCTATGAATGCCCAGACCAGAAAGAATGGAGAAGCTCTGATTCAGTTCACAATTAAAGAGCACAAAAGCATAAACCACTGATACTTATATTAATAGGTGAAAGTTTTCTTAAAAGCATTGATGTTTTCTCCTGAGACTCAGCCCAATTTCTACCCAAGGAAAATTAAGTTGTTGTCACACACGAATGCTCCCATTCACTGTCCAGTGGAAGCGATACTTCTCTCTGGTCACACTGCCCTCTCCCAGGGAAAGAAAGCATCCCTCTTATCCCTTAACCTGATGATAGGCCACTATGGGCTACTCTGTCCTATTTGCTTGTAAGGAAATCACAGAATAGACATTGACAAAATAGAGAGACATTGAAATCTTCAGGAATAGTCACTGAAGTTTAATCAACCCTGAAGCAATTCTCCTGGCCTCTTATTATTGCACTCCCAACTCCATCATTCCAGGACTATCTCAGCAATTTGTACCTATAAATGTCACTGTGTGCCCATATTGTTAAGGTTGAAGTGACTGAAGAAATTATGAACTTGCTGAGAGTCATTGTCCACAGATGTTGGAACTCATATTTCATTTGGTATTAAATAGCCAGGGGTACCTGTCAGAATCTGCCAGAACCAAAGGAAGTGTGCAGGCAGAGTGCTCATGGCTGCACAGTGTCTTCAAAAGACCGTGAAGGATAAATATGCTATAATTTCTCTGCATCTAATTGACTGGATAGACTTGGCTTAAATCTAAATGACTTAGTTGTAGGTAGAGATTGTTGCATTGCATCATCTCTGACTCATGGTGGCCTTATGTACAACACAATGACACCCTGCCTGGCCTGGTTTCATCCTAATTATTGCCAGCCTGTTAAAGTCCATCACACTGAAGGTCTCCCACACTGTCAGTGGTCCTCTACCAAAACCCAATGTTTTCATCCAGCAATTGATTCTTCCCCATGACATATCCAAAGCAAGTGAGTTGGGCAGTGGTCCATATGGTTTTCATTGGCTAGTTTTTGGAAATATATCTCCAGCCTTTTTTTCTAGTCTGTCTTAGTCTAGAAGCTCTCCTGAAACTCATCCACCAGGGGGTAACGCTGTTGGTATTTGAAATACCTGTGGCATAGCTTCCAGCATCACAGTGACATGCAAGCCCCCACAGTGTGACAAACTGAAAGACAAGCAGTGGGACTTAGCCCTGTTGTTGTTAATGCTGATGAATTGGTTCCGGCTCATTGTGACCCTGTATAGGTTTCTGAGGCTGTGAATCTTTATGGGAGCAGAAAGCCTCATTTTTCTCTGGAGGAGTGTCTGGTGAGTTAGAACTGCCTATCATATGAATGTGAAAGCTGGACAGTGAATAAGGAAGATTGTAGAAGAATTTATGCCTTTGAATTGTGGTGTTGGAGGAGAATACTAAAAGTGCCATCAACTGCTAAAAGAACCAATAGATCTGTTTTGGAAGAAGTGCAGCTAGAGTGCTCCTTGGAGGCCAGGATGGCTAAACTTCATCTTTCATACTTTGGACATGTTATAAGAAGGGAACAGTCACTGGAGAAGGATATCATGCTTGGTAAGATGGAGGATCAGAGAAACAGAGGAAGACCCCCAACGAGATGGACTGGCCAGGTGACAGCATCGATGGACTCAAGTGTGGCAACGGTAGTGGGGTTGGCCCAGGATCGGACATTGTTTCGTTCTGCTGTGCATAAAGTCACTATGAGTTGGTGCTGACTCAATGACACCTAACAACAACAACAACACTGTGATTACCCAGCCAGTGCTTATCCTACAGCACCACCAGCACTCCTAAGCATGGT